AAAAAAAAAAAAATCAACATCATTTTTTAAATTGCTAACAATAAATGTCACTGAGGTACTTCTGTATACCATCACTAAGAAAATACACTGGTGCGACCTTCTGAGAAAACAATTAGTAGAGTACATCAAATCCTGGGTGCTAGATTCTTGCTGACAGGGCAATGTGCTAGAGGTAGCAATGTATCCTAGGAAAATAATAGTGGATGTATAATATGAATGCTCACGGCAACCTTGTTTCTACAAGTAATTAAAGAGAAACAGTGTAAATGCCCAACAAAAAAACAACAGAAAAACCACTGTCCACCTATATGACTGAACATTATACAGTCATATAAAATAATGATGTAGAAAAAGGATCAGGCATTTTATTTAGGAAGAGTGTGGGAAAGCCCTTAGTATGGGCTTTAGTATCTGACTAGGTCAAGTTCTGAGGGAGTCTGTCAGCTGTGTGAGCATGGAAAAGTCATTGAATTTCTGAGTCTCAACTTTCTTACATGAAAATGCAAATAGAAGTACCAACCTCACAGGTTGAGAGAATTTATAAATTAACACACATCGAGTGCTTTTGCACAGAGCAAAAAAAAAGTGATGTTAATCATTTGCAAAAATCTAGTAAATTAACACCCACACTCCAAAATCTAGGAAAATATGCAGTGAAATTTTAACACTAATTATCTCTGGAATTGGAATAGCACATCATTCTCTTTTAAACTCACTGTGGTTTTTTAGATTTTCTTTACTTCAATAAAGTCAGCACTATATTAATGTTTAAGTATCTCCATATTTCCTAAGTAGCTTTAATAAATACTCCTTTAGATCTATTAAGTTTTTCTAGTATAATCCAGCCTATGCATATTGTGTTTATGGAAATGGAGTCCTTTCACTGATTTAATCTAAGGAGTAATACATTTCACTTCATTCTTCAGAGTCAAACAGTCTGCTCGTATTTCATCCTATAAAAGTCTTTTCTGCACTTCCACATCTGCAGATTAAGATCACTCTGAATGGATTATTAGAACATAAAAGGCAGGGGGAAAGAATGGATTCATGTCTTTAAAAAGAGCAAAGTTAAAAGAGACTAACATGACAACTTCATGATAGTTATAGAGTAAAATATATATCTTACCTTAATTATGTAAGGTCAGAAATGACTGCAGTAAATCTCTCAACTCCATGCACAACTTCCTAGTGTGGTCAGAAGATGAAAGTTATTCAGTAGATCAGCAGTCCATCTAGTAAAGTGACCATCATTCTGGAAAGAAAAAGAATCTCACTGAGGGGAATATGATGGAGTCGTGTTCCTTTCTAGACACCAGACCCACAAGAAAGGGGAAATCAATTATTAGAGGCAACTATGCATTTTAGAAATCAAAACACTCTTCTGCTAGGTCAGGATAAAAGAGAACCAAGGATATCATGCAAACACCAGTTTGTAGCTTTAGGTAAAAGCTTGTTGCTCACTGTTGTGACTCATCATAGTTTTAAAGAAAAGGGCTTGATCCCTCACAGACCTTCCACTTCACTTCTGTTACCATTCTCTTCCTCTGTGAATTTACTAACATACACATAACTCAAGCTGTGTGTTCCACCTAGTTTTTACTTTTCTATCATTTTAGACTGAGACCACTCCATCATAAACACTAAGCGGCAGTTCCCCGGGATTTAAACCTTGAGACTATTTAAGTCACTTCTTTTGATCATTCCCATTCCAAGATAAGCCCATCACTTTTCCTGGAATGTTCTTGACACCCATGTCCCCTCTGTAACCAAATTGTCTGCCATACCCCACCTATTACAACATTTTCAGAGCCCTTGACCTGTCAACTCTCCCTTGCAAGCAATTGCCTTCATCCCATTATACCCTCTGGGTTCAGCAATTTCAGTTTTCTCCATCCTCATAGTGTTTTGAAGTCAGATACCCCTAGGCATGAATCCTGCTCCAGACGTTTTGCACAATTTACAGAATTTATGTCTGCTCAACTCAGAATCCAGTTTTGTTACATATAAAATTACATTATTTATCCCTAGGGTTGCTGTAAGAATAAGATACGACCTTGTACCCTACAGATCTCACAGTAGATATTCACCAACCTTAGTGACTCCTGTGCCCGCAGCCAGGAGTCCACCAATTCACATCATGCTCAGTGAAATAAGCCAGACTGAGTCAAGGGTCAATTTTTTTTTCATATGCAGAAACTGGACCAAAATAAGGAGGGGGGGGAAGGAGAGAATCCATGAAAATAGAAGGGAGATCAGTGACTCAGAGAAAGGGTATTAATGGGAGGGAGGAGGGATCAGGAAAGAGGAACCATGGAATGAAACTGACCAAAATATGCAATGAGAATCTATAATATACCATGGTGAATTTCACTTGTTTGTGTATCTATGAAGCACAATTTACAAAAATTACAAATAAATGAAGACCAGCAGGGGAAATAGAACAGGAAAGAGGAAAACAAAAGTATGAGGGACTAAAATGGAACAAGTTATATCCCGTGTTTGTATGATTGTGTCAAAATGAAACCCAATATTATGGAGAACTATAATGCACAGATAGAAAAAGAATCCCACCAACTCTAAAGTTCTCTGGCCTTATAACTTCCAGACTCAATGTGTTTGGTTTTTGGTTTTTTGTAGTTGTAGATGGACAGAATGCCTTTATTTTTATTTGGTGCTAAGGATTGAACCCAATGCCTCACTCACGCTACACAAGCAGAGCTACAGCCCTAGCGCTCAATGTTCTCTTATATCCACATCTTTGTTATGACTTTCTCTTCTATCAAATATAAACTCCTCTGCTGACTTTCAGCTCCTTCACAATCCTGTCATTCCCCTCAAGACACACTTTATATCCCTTTTGTCGAGGATCATGAGCCCAGCAATGCCCACCATCCACACGATGTAATCCTCAGGCACCTCCTAAGCAGTACTGCCCAATGTTTCATGTGTGTTGAGCATAGCTGTCCCTCTGGAAAGCCTGCTCTGATTCTTTTTTAAGTTCAGCTTTTCACTTCTGAGTGAACGTTATTCATGTTTTTAACAAAACAATTTTATTCTCTGGATCAGCTCTGCCAATGCCTCTTGCAACCGACACGCCAGTGTGCCTTAGACTTTAATCAGAAAAGATCTTTTAAAGTTTCCACAATGAAGAAATGACAAAAGCTTGAGAAGACAGATATAGTTAACCCGATTCAAACATTACACAATGTATACATGTTTTGAAACTTCACATTGCCCCATCGATTTCTATGTTTTATTTACCAGTTAAAATATTTTCTTATAGATTCTTTTAATAATACCATCACTTCTATTTGTATAGAGAGAATCACAGAAAGATCTGGTTCCATCATCAATTGATAGACCCTTCACAGATAATCTAAGAACCTCCTCATGGAGCCTGGAGACAAGTTCTAAGTATTGTCCAATGCCTGTCAGATTTTGAACCAAAGCAAATATGTTCCAATTTCAAATACAACTTTATGACCAAATGCTCAGCAGCCAAAAGGATGACCTACAATGGGGAATGACGATTACTAGACTTTGACCTCAGTAATAATGGTTGAAACCCCAGGACGAAATAATGGTACTGATGGGGAATGAGTAGAAGCCACAGTAAAGGGTCAAGGAGAAGGAGGAATAGTGGTTACAATACCAAGAGACTCACCTTGACATAAGTTAAGTAATAAATCAAATACTACAGATGGGGACTGACAACCATTGGCCTCAGTTAATAAGTTACTTGTGACCCCTGAGGACAATTTTCAAAATGGCCAACACAGGACACCCACTGCAGGAGACTGAGGCATATGGAAACAAGTAGAACTCTGATTAGCGAGCCACAAGGTTTATGCTCTTATCCTGAATCTACCTGACGTAGCCCAATAAGCACCTGTAAGTTTGCTCTTCACCCCTGCCCCCCACCTCCACACACACAGTGCATGGAGGAGTGGGCTGCAAACTCTTTGCAACCGTTTTCTCCCAATACCACCCTCATGCACCTGAATTTGGTCTCCTAAAACTCTCAGGGAACTATTTAACAGCTATATGCTATCAAATCTGAAAAGCCATAGTATATTCTTCTGCTGCTTTTGGGAAAATGACAGTTACTTGCTTAGCAGATGAAAGAAAATAGATACTAAAATCTGTCAGATCAACAGAGCGAAAATACAGGTTCAAGTCAGGCACTGTATTATAATATGTAGGTAACATATAATTTGTATTGAATTACTAAAAGGTGACTTTTTCCCTTCAAACCAGTGCTTGTTCTTTAACTCTAGAAAAAAAATCAAATAAGGGAAAAAGTAAAAATCATAAGCACTGTTAGCATTTTGTTTAACCTCCTTTCACTTTGCACGCATGGCACATTCATAAATATAGTACACAAACATGCAAGCACAGATATTTTATTAAAAGTGAACAATCTAGCATTATTTGTAATCAGTTTCTCCCATTCTGATAGAATTTAATACTGTTCATTCAGTACGCTTCTATATGTTCATTTTTAATGGCTGCACAGCAATTCATTTTAATAAACCCTTCCGATTATTTATTAAAGCTGACATGGATATTCTTCAAAATATCATTAAGTATTTGCCTAGGGCAAAATCACAGGTCACTGTACAGGAAATCCAAGGATCTATATCATCACTTACCCTACAGGATATATAACCCCCTGACATATGAAAATACCCACTCCTCCACTCTTAGATAGTATTTTTAAAAATTCATTTCTTTTGTAAAGCATGCAAGAATTTTAATACATCCTATTGTTTTTCTAAGTTAATAAGCAAATACTCAGAAAAAATAAATTCATTCAAGGTCATACAAATCTATAACTGGTGGTTTGTATTAAAATGTCCTTAATATAACAATTATCTTTTAAAAATTCATTTTAATTAGCTTCTGTTTGAGATCAAACACTTCATGCTTTTACATTTCTTTTTACGACTTTTGTTTAGTTCTCCACTGAAGTATTCATCACAGTAATTTATAATCTCTCAGTATATCAAAGGAGTTAACTTTGCACCCTGATAATGGAGAGAAAATTGTACACTACAAACTTTTGACTACAAGGAGCAAAACCACTTTCACTTTAATAAGACTATTAGTCCCAGAAAAAGTCCTTATTATAAGTACATAGAAGTAATTTTCCTATGTAAGGATAATATATTGTTACAGTTTGGATCTAGAATGTTCCCCAAAGGCTTGTGTGTTCAAGGCTTTGTCCCCATGCGGCAATGTTCAGATGTGGGGTGTTGGAGGGGTGTTGGGAGAGGTGGATCATGAGGATTCTAACCTCAATGGTGAATTAATCCACTGATAGATTTGTAATTTGATTATTGGAAAGGGATGGGATAGGAGGTAAAGCCTAGCTGGAGGAAGTGGGTCACTGGGGCTGTGCCCTGGAAGGGTAATCTGACCCCTTGCTCCCTCTCTCTCTGCTTCTTGGCCACCTTGTGGGCAGCAGCTGTGCTGGGTCACACCCTCCCTGCCATGATGCTCTGCCTCATCATGAGCCACCAGCAATGGAGCCAAGGGACTGTGGATCGACACCTCTGAAACTATGAGCCAATATAAACCCTTCAAGTTGCTTTTCTGATATTTTGTTACAGCAAGGAAAAGCTAAGAAACTTTTTCCTATGTGCTGCAAATCATTTTCCCAGCTTATTTTATCTCAAAAACTGAAATATCATTATTTCACTGATCTATTTAGAGGACTAAGGAAAATGCAGGGAAAGTCATGGAGTGGAAGGAACTTAAAAAACAAACAAACAAAAAACACCTTGCTGGTACTCTGCAATAAAGTGCCTTATTCTTCCAATCCTATGAGGAGTCCATCAGGCAGGTATTATCATTCCTCTTTTACAAAATAAACTGGAATAAGTGTCCATATAGTGAAGCGATAATGCAATTTTTACCCTTACAAATAAGCTTTTTTTGGGGGGGGCGGGGCGGGTGTGGAGCTAGGAAGCTCTGCATTAACACTTCATTCCCAGCTGTGCTTGCAGGAGCATTTCTTCCCTCCTTAGACATAATCAAAGAGTCCACTCCAACTTCACTACCAGCAGTAAACCAAGGTACTAGCTTCTGCTTTGTCCATCCTTTTAAGATTCTCTAAAGAACACCCTTCTCTATCTTTATGATTGGGAGGTAGGGTACTACTGGGGATTGAACCCAGGATGCTTTACCACTGAGCTACATCTACACACCTTTTCTTTTTTCTTTTATGACAGGGTCTCGCTGAGTTGCTAAGGGTCTTGATAATTTGCCAAGGCTGGTCTGAACTTGTGATCCTCCTGCTTTAGCACACCAAATTGCTGGGGTTACAGGCGTGTGCCACTGGGCCCAGCTATTATGTATCTTTAAGTATCATTCTGATAATAACTATTTTTGGCTAGGAACCAAGACAACTGTATCAGTCACTACAAGCTCAACCCAATAACAGATGCTTTCCTTTCTCCCAAGTACTCTTAGAGGTACTTCAGCAGCTTAGACATAGTAACATCCATAGTAACAGCATACACCTGAACCCAAGCTTTTGTCAGAGGCAAAGCACATGTGCTCTATAAATATTTTATGTACACCCTGTACTGAAATTCCAGATGAAGAGGCCTTCGCAGAGCCTCCATAACACGATGGTGGCCCAAACATTGTCAGTGTTGAGTGCAGGCTTTGCCATCTCCTGCTGAGCCTCTTTCATTTAATCCTATTTATCTCCCTTTCAAAAAGTTTGTATTTATACAATTTTAGTACATTAGTTGTGCTGTGGGAAAGGCAACATCTGAAATAAAAGCAAGAAGCAAGTAACTGAAATTGGATGAACTCAAAGAACCTAGTCACTGAAGATGTTGTGGGGAAAAGATCAGAGCGTGGGTGAGCCTGGGGGCTGAGTTTCTTTGGTTACTAACAAAACTAAATCACTCATTGCCAGAAGAGGGAAAAGAAAACCTCTACCCATATATTTATTAATTCACTGCCAATTTATAGAAAATGCTTAGGAATTTGAAGCCTTCACTTATGGAATAGTCTCTGGAAAGTCACCAAAATGCAGGCACACCCCCTGCTTATCAGTGGCCCCGAAGAAGTGTAGCTGTGGCCTTACAGGGGAAATCTGGCCCTGGGAGACAGCAGCTGAGTGGCCACAGAGGAAGCAGATCATGAGTGGAAGGGATTAAAAAAAATCTCACTGTCTGACTGCAGCTGGTACTTGCAGAGCTACTAACTCTGAGGCAGGTGGTTTTCTTAATAATGCTTCTCTCTCTCTGAATTTTCCTCTTTCATGTAGGTCGGCTTCTCTGCTTCAGGGCTTCCTTGAGGAGAATCGAGTTTGAAAAGAGAACAATATTCCTCAACTAAGACATTCTTAGGAGAGAGAAAGTCTAGAACTCAGAGCAACAAAGAGCCACATCTGCTCTCTGGCTGCATCTCCAGATGTGCAGGAGCCCCAAGAGAATGGCTAGATAGCAAGGAGACTGGACTCCTTGCTGGACAAGGCATCCTCCCTGGCCTCAAGCATGGCCTGCCCAGAAATGGCAGGAACCAGTATGAACGAAGAGGACCCAGAGTGCCTGGATGGTACGGAAAAGTGTCTCAGGAACAACCAAGACAAATCCTTTGTGCTATCCCACAGAATTAGAAGGTTAGAGTCCACATTAAAAGTCAACTCAGAAAAATGCAATACTCTCTGCACCCCTAGTTTGTGGACTAAGATTCAGTCCCCATTAAAAATCAACAACCGAGTAGGTGAATGAATTAACAAGGGAAAAGCGTTAAAACCTAACAACCTATGTATTTTTCTTCGTTCAGTTGCTGGCTTCCAGCAGTTGGTCAGAATGGCATTCAGAATAAAGGGTGCTCTAGCGTGTCTTTAGAAGGATTTTGTACCATGTAAGCATTTCACCAAGAGCTTCCATGATCATTTGTTGCCTCTGCTGTTTAGAGGGTCTGTGCTGACAAAGACAGGCATCTCTAGAGGCACCAGGCTCTGACAGCCAGACTCAGGGAGTGGTGGATACCTGGGCAGATTAACCACAATCCTCTGATTCACTGTCTGGCTTGAGGTTTTCAAGACCAACATCCAGATTTTCCTGGAGCCAAAGATGTTAACTCCCCCAGAGTGTGGGGTTAATGAATAAACGCACAGCAACAGGCTAATGATGTGTGTAGGTAGAATACTTTTGTGCCTTCTCTGCAAGTCTTTCTCCTCTTTGAGATCTTATGACTGGACCACAGGGTCAAAAGTAGGCTCCTCTACTGTCTCCCACCACACACACACCTTGCCCAGCCATGGACTCCAGAACAAGCAAAGCCATCAGCCACAGGCTGATCAAGACACTTTTTCTCTGGAATTTTCAAATTGGGGCCGGGGAGCTGCAAGTCAGATGCTAGATGCAAGTGGATCTGTGATGTCTCTCTCTGGACAGCACAAAAGAGCTGGTCTTTGGGCAAGAATGGAGCTGAGAGAAACAGGAACTGACAAGTCCTTCAGCTTCCTTGAGCTTTTCTATTCTTGAGTATGGGTTGGGTTTTTTTGGTTTTGTTTTTGCTTTTTTTTTTTCCTTTTTTCTTCTGAGGATCACAGACTCTTAGGAGTATTTCACGGCCCTGAAAATTTATTCTCTAGTTTTGTTCCTTGCAGCCAAAGACTCCCAGATGAACACCATCTTTTTCTTATGTTACTATTATCGTTTAGACGTGGATTGACCCTGTAAAACCTCATGTGTTTAGGCAAAGTTCAGAGGTGACCTTTCACCTTGGATTATGAAGGCTCTGAGCTCAGTGATTAACTCATTTTATGGATTAACAATTTAAATGGACTTACTTAGAAGTGGTGCTGACTAGTCACAGGTAGGGCTGGAGGAAAGAGGTCACTGGGCTGTGTGAACTGTATCTGTCCCTGGCCCGTCACCCGGCTTCCTGGCTGTTATGAGCTGAGTACTTTTCCTGCACTATGCTCTCCTACCATCCACCATGGTGTTTCTGCAATGGAGTCAGTCGGCCATGGGCTAAGACCTCTGAAACCAGGAACCAAAACAAATCTTTTCTAAATGGTTCTTGTTCTTTTCTTAGTGATAAGAAACTAACATGGTTACCAAGCTAATAACCAGCAGACCCAGGGTGGGATGGGCATAACCTGGGGGACAGTGCATGGTGTAATACCAGCCCTCAACCAGAACACCTCCCCAGTGACTAGACTCATTCCTCCAGACACATTGTGTTTAATTTTGCCTCATTAAACCATATTTCTTAAGGCTCACATGTAGAACATGATTATAGTTTTTTTTTTTAATGTCTTATGTACAAACCTGCATGTAGTCAACTTCTCCTCTTTTCAACTCTAGACAAGTTATTAAGTCCTAAGAGTATATGGTGTGAGGGTCCCCTGCTCCCAGTCCCTAACCCTTGCATGGGTTTGTCATCTTAAGATGGGATTTTTGGCTTAGCTTGGGCCTGCATCTCAAATAAAAATCAAGATATTAATAGAGGTGGGAGGAAATGGTTGTTTTCATTTTCTACAAGAACTGGTAGGGTCTGAAATAATCTGTCCCATAAACATCCAAGTACAATTTCTTGAAATGGTAAAGCTTGGTAATGGGAATTTTATTTTCTATTTTCATACTTGATTTTTCCTTAAGAATTTAAATTGATGCTATAACAATGTATAATATAAACCCAAGTATGTATTTTTATTTCCGTTTTTCAGCTATTTTTAAAAAAGTCAATGGTGAGATATATTCCTAAACTGTGGTGCTGTTACAGGCAGGTAAAATTGATTAATTTTTAAAATGTGGTATACAAGGCTTAGGGAGGGGGAGAATTTTCTCTTTTAGAATTAATCAGAAATGAAACATTTAACTATGCTACTAATATATATAGGTTTTTAATCCTTTAAAGTTTGGCAAAGGCAAAAAAAAAAAAACAACACAGAAAAAAATGATAAGGAGTAAGGGACATTTAGTTGTCCCAATATACTTCCTTACTCATTATCTAGATATATATAAAGTACGTGAAGTAGGACTTTCCAGCTTTGTTTAAAGCAAAGAAAATGAAATGAAAAGTTCAATGTCTTTTAAAACATTTTTGGTGGTCAGGTCAGAAAATATTTGCCTCTCTCTCGGGATCACTGTTAAACTCAGCTGTACCAAACAACCTATCAGCTCAGGAAGGAGTGCTCTGTGTCTCTCAGTGCTGAGGAGGAGGTGGAAGGCCCCACTGTGCTCCAAGTGAGGGCACAAAGTGTGAATAAGGTAAACAATTGACAATCAGTGCTCTGACAAGAACTTTGGAGGATGCCACTGTGAGCTTCAGTGTGGTCTTATCCTCAAAGTTCAAATGTCAACAGCTTTGCTCTAATAAAAAGCACCATTAAAAACATATGCACTCTTTCAAACATATGCACTCACTTATTTATTACAAGCCAGGAACAGTGATGCTCTCCTGTATTTCCTGGAACTCGGGAGGCTGAAGTAGGAGAATCACAAGTTCGAGGGCAACCTTGGCAACTTAGTGAGATATTCAGCAACTCAATGTGATCCTGTGTCAAAAAAACAAAAAGAACTTGGTATGTAGCTCAGCGGTAAAGTACCTCTGGGGTCAGTTTCGGGACCCCAAACAAATAAAAAATGTTTATTGCATCACTGTTCACATTAGCCAAAATATGGAAACAAATTAGGTGTTCATTGACAGAGGAAAAGATAAAGAAAATGTGGTATATTGACACAATGGAATATTATTCAACTAGAAAAAAGCATGAAATTCTGTCACTTGCAGCAACATGGATGTAATTGGAGGGCATTACATTGCAGAAATATATCTGGCATAGAAACAGGAATACTAAATCTCATATGTGGGAGCTAAAAGTTGATCTCATACAAATAGTACTACCTTGTGAGTAGTTATCAGAACCTGGGAAAAGAAGGAAAGATGAAGAAAGGATGATTAAC